AATAAATATAAAATATAATAAAATTAATTGAAACGTTATTCTATAAGAAAATCGAAAGTAATACAATAAATGTTTATCATATTGGACTTAAGAAAGAAGTATTATTAATTGATTGTAGTAAAAGCAAAGTCAGAACAACTTACTTACCCTATCTGGCTTTGCTTCTACGCTACAATTTTAAGGGCAAAAATAGGGAAGAAAATGGAAACTAGATTATTAATCAATGTCTAAAATTTTTACTGTTGAATGAATTTGGTATTGATGTTTTTTCTATGAAATTCTTGAGAGTAAACTGCAGTATATTTTGGTTATAATTTATTTAAAGTAATGGTTGGCACACATTTTTTACAATAAAGAGCAATGTCAATGTCCTCTGTACAGGGTAATAACTGATGTTGAATAAACTCGAAAAACGTACAGTGTACATAAAAAGCTGTAGATAATTAGGTACCTATACCTATTGACCAACCAAGCTAGGTACGAATCGACATTAGTTGACTAGTATGAGACATGATGAAATACTGATTTGCAGTTAGTACAGTATGTGCTCTACGCTATTAGAAACTTTTTAGCCCTTTATTACGTTTACCAGTTCTGCATTAGGTGGTAATGATAATAATCGTTATAATCATAATAATAATTAATAGATAATTATACTAATGATAATTAATAATAATAATAGTAAACTAAATTCCATAAATAGATACAAATTTAGCGACATCCTTTTATATTTACAGTACACTATTACAGTGAGCTCTTTGGTAAAAAATTAAAATTATTACATTTACAATTATGTAGTACTTATACAGACACTAACGTGACGTATCAATTGATGAGCAATAAAAAAAGATAACACCTAACTACTTATGTATTCGTTATTAAGTACACATAAATAATGCATTAAATGAAAAACGCGCGCTTTTTTTTGAATAAGGTATGATAAAAAAATTCGTTGTTCAACATTATGTGGAACACCCTTTTAAAATTGACAATATTACAAAAGTTAATTTATTTCAACTTTATTAATTATTATTGTAGCTCTATTTTGTGCTATGTTACTTCGTAAAGTGGTGGAGAACGTTATTGTTATTAATTATTACAGTTACAATAATTATTAATAATAACATTAGGTATTAATATTCCTTTTGTCAAAGCCACTGACACGTACGACCCTAAAATGTCCCAATTTTTTGGACGATTGGAGGAACTAATTTACAGAGATATTTATTAAGTAATAATGGAAAAATTAAAAATGAAATTAGTCTCATTCAACAATATCACAATTTTAATATTGCAATAATTTTTTTCCCTTTAGCTAGATATGCCTTTTCATTTAAACATACGTAACTTTAAGTAATACATTTCCATCGTCATCATTATCATCATCATCATCATCTTCATAATAAAGCTTGCCACAGGTAGCCTAGCGAAACGTATTTGTGTTAAGTCAGATCACCAATAACAGTTCTCAAAAATGCCGTACATACATCGTCGATAAATGCATTTCAATAGACATGATCATCAAGAGATTTTGTTACTAAAAATTTGTACTATACATGACAATGATTTATTTATTTATGTATTCGCTTACTTTATAAGATAACGTGATTTGAAGAAAACTTGCTATCCGAATTTAATTTAATTTAATTTTTTTATTGATTTATACCTGAACTATCTAGAATACCCATGTATACGAACGATAGATTCTACATTTGATATTATCTAGAATGTGCTTTATTTAAAAACATTATTTTTAAAAATTAGTCTATAACAAGCATATCTACCTATGTAGTCAATAAGGCCTCTTGTAAAAGTTTGAGTAATTTCAAAAAATACCATAATGAAAACGTAACAATGCTGTAAGATTCGAACATTCTTGGAACAGATTGAAATTTAAACTGAGAATTTACACGATATCTACAACATATACCCGAATAATATTAATCAACTTTTTGACTTGGCCATATCATTTATCTTAAAAAATTAGGATCAGAATCATAAAATTTAGTTTAACCAAAACACTTGGTTTAAGATTCATCAACAAAAAAAGTAGGTACTAATAAACCTGGCCCAATTCCACGGTTACGTTATTCGTTTTCGAAGAATTTTAGGAATTGATACTGTTTAAGTATCAGACTTTTGAATAAATTACTTTTAGTGAAACCTATTAAGCTTTGCATTTATTAATTACTGTGAGATATTTTAGGCAACTAAATTATACGATACTGCGATGAATGTTCATTGCAGTATAGCTTGCACAGTTATCTCAATTTATCATCTTTTCCTTGAGAAATAATAAAATACACATTAACTAGATTATATTGTCCTCATCCCATTTTTTCTCAATTAGTTTCTGCACGATAGTGCACAAAAACCAAACAAAATATTTTTTTTTTTGGTATTTATTATCTTTAAGAATAGATTACTAAAGAAATTACCGTAAAAACGCGTGGTTATAAAAATTTCATATCCTAGCTAAATTATTACGTTAAATGAAGTACCATCTAAAGGAACGTTTATCTTTTTTTATCTTTGCTCTATTTTATAGTTACTATTTTTTTTATGACTTGTTTATTTATCTAAGTATTCATTAGAAGCGCAAAGTCGTGTCATTATTGGTGAACTAGCTTAAAATACGTCCTAGCAAGCATCAATTTGACTAGAGTTGCACAAGATACACAAATATAATATTATCATTATTATTTTTTCAACAATCAAGTTTTTCTCTTACATCGTAATAATAATAATTATAATAATGCCACTATTTAAAATTGTCGTTATTGTCTTTGAGTTTGTAACATATTTCTTTTAAGTATTTTATAAGTAGTCATACATTAACAAAATGTTTTTTTTTTCTTCTTTCATTTAAGCACAAAATTTCAATATAATCAAGCGCTAATCAGCTGTGTTATTAATTAGTAGTAGTAGAAGTAATAGTAGTAGTAGTAGTAGTAGTAGTAGTAATAGTAGTCAATGTTCTTACTAGGAAGACGGCACTAGTAAAGTCTGCCTACGAAGCAGTGTATTCGTATGTGTTTTTTGTGTGTGTGTGTGCTTGTATTAATTTAAATTAGATAATAACTTTTTCATTGTTTTCTTTTTAATTTGTGCTACTCATCTTCTCAGTAGTTTGTAGGAATGTAAAGTCGACCCACTGTTTCCAAAGACTAATCCCCAGAGATCTCAGTCTTAACACTCTTGACAGAGTCACTATGTAATTGTCTAATATTGTCACTGTAATTAATTCGAGTCTTAGCACTGTTCGACGCAGAGGCGCGAGAATGTTCGGCCACGGCTGTTGGGCCGGAAACCACCCTGTCGAATCCCACTGGTCTATTATCGTTAGTACAATTGTCGGAATTAAAGCTGCAGCAAATTTTCCCATCCTGCAAACACAAATCGGCCACACTTTAGTTCATTTGAACGTACGTCACAGATTCATGAGTAAAAATCTTGTGCTTTGCTAAATCATTCGTTTCCGTGAAATGGTGCAATTTAAAATTAAAAAATTGACAATCACGGTTGTTATACCTTTTATGTATCTTCAATTATTGATAATAAGCAATTAGTTCAACTATAATTGCCTTAAAATGTTTAAATATGCATTAAAAGAATTGGCTAATTCGGGGCCATTATTACCTTTCTCGAAATTACGATAAATTAGAAGAATATAAAAAGAGCGATTACAATAAATGATATTACTGTAACGGCTAAAACAAATGAAAGCTTATCAGATTTTTATAAAACGTTAAATCCAATTATTTGATATAAAATGAAGTGATAGAGACGTAGAGAAATGTAAAATTTTGTGTTCATTCATTAACAGAACATTAATAATTTCAATTTTTTTATATGTCGGTACTATTAGATTAAAATGTAATATAATACGATATTATTGTTACGAAATATTGTCAAAAAAAAAGAGTATGCACATGCTAATTCCACACACATTCGTTTATTATAAACAGAGACACACACACATCTAATGTCATGCATTTTGAATACTAACACTGGCAATACACATCTATAGTGTGCTCTGGGAAATTATTGGTTTTTACATCTACAGGTAAAATCTACTAAAACGTTCAATATATAGGTAATAATACTAATAATAATAAAAGTATTATGGAGGTGGTGTTTTTTCATTAAATTCGAGCAACAACAACAGTTAAATTACACTACTACAGGTGTGTATATCAGGTTGTTAATAGAGAGTTATTAGTGTATTTAGAGTGGTGTGTTTACCGATGCACACAACACGCGACATTGCTCACCAGTGGGGCGCAGAACGGCACCTGGAAGGGAATTAAGTGTTAATTGTTAGTATGGCCTAGCTAGCCTAGCGCTATGCTGCAATCAGCCATGCCATGGTGTTGCACAGACGTAGAAGTAAAATTAAATAATTTACAGACGTTTAGGGATTGTTGGAGCAAAAGAAAACTGTTGATGGTGTAACGATGTAACAATTTGGATAGCTTTGAGGTAGGGTGAAGTCCATCGTTTTGGGTTTGCACCGCCTCAATTTGTTCACAACCCAAGAAAAGGTTCTTCCGCTTTTCAAAAATCCGCTATATCGGAACAGTTTCGGGGGATGTCCCGTGTGATCAAGGACGATGCATCCGTTGGCAACAGGCAAAATGACGCAGTGCAAATCCAAAATTGTACGTCATCAATATCACCCAACTCATTTTATCACTTTATCATCTTACCATCGTCAGTTTTCTTTTATCTATTTTTATTGAAAGTTTGTTTTTCTACTACCTACTCATTTTATCTGAATTATTTCATCAACAAAATGAAAATTTTGCGTAAAAAATGGTAAACGATTCTAGTAAAGAACATTCGATTTTGTAGAAATATTTGATAATTTCAAAATGCCCCAAATACAATATTGTAGGTACAGTGAATGTGGCAAGGTAATTTGAGAAAGAGTCTTAGTGTTCTTAATTTCTGTAATGGATGATTTTCTCCTAAACGGCAAAAAATAGATTTATATTGAATTAACTCCCGACACCATATTTGAAATGAATAAATGAAACACCATGTATGGGAAAAATTTAGTGAAGAACAGTTGAGAAAACAATTTAATTTGACGCTTTTAGCAACATTTAAAATTCAAAAATTAGGATGACAAAAGAGTAGAAAAACAAGCATCAAAATCGTAGGTATCAGTCGATGAAAATGGAGCACAAATAAGGCCCTAGCATTATAACGGTTATGTTTCTAGTTTGCACAAGCACTGTTATTAATTTAAAAAACAAAAGTACTTGGTCACTGATTAGTAAAATTTTAGTAAACAAATAGTTAACGTTACATTTAGTTATCGAATTTACTAACGACTACCGATTAGAAAAAAATGGCACCTACCTTGCAATTGCACGAGGAACAGGGATTGTGGGGATCGATAAATTGCGCCCCTGAGTCATACGTTCTGTCCAAATAAGTACACGGTTTGCCTGAAACGGACACGTTCCCAAAGAAACAGGGATCGTCACAATGAGGACAACAGTCTCCGGGCGATTGAACGCGATTATCGCAGGATAATGGCGGACACGCCAAATCCCAGCAGTCGATCTCGCCAAACAGGCATTCGCATGTTTGACATTGATACGACCACTTTTCGTTGTGCATCAATAGAACTTCCGGTAGCTCTTGGTGTCTGCAAGCGAGTTCCGGATTACACTGTGGACAGCACGGATTCTGCGCCATTCCTGGTATGGAACAATTGCATGTGGGGTCCCTGCATGTCACCACTCCATAGCTGCATGTACATCGCTGACACGAATTGTTCTTCGGCAGAACCGAAGATCCGTGCGGAATTTCTTGATTCTCGAACATACATGACAGCTTGCAATCAGGACTCCCTTCAGGTGGACACTGACACATGTAACTTCCTTCGGTATTCACACATTCAGCCGAAGGATGACATAAGTGGATGTGTCTTTCGCATTCATTTATATCTGTAAAATCGAATTGTGGAATAAGAGCGTTAGATACGGAAAGCATTCGCTGACCTTGACATGAAGATCCTGAGGGGGTGGTCTCGTATCCTGGTTTACATTCGCACTGGTACCAGCCAAGTCTATTGACGCAAACGGAGGTGTTTGAACATTTGTGCTCGTTAGTTAGACACTCGTCCAAGTCCCTTTCGCAATGGGGACCTGTGTAACCCACTGGACAAGCACACTTTTCCGGACTTTTGCAGTAACCTCCGTTCAGACAGCTTTGACTGCAAACAGCTGCAAGAAGACGATAGAAACGTTGGAAGGATAGATCAAATAAAGACCTTATTGGTTAATAATGTTTAGAATATACAAAAATTACGCCATCAAGAGTCAGTCCAAAAGTAAAATTGACCATCAAAAATGGAAATGTGAAAATTCAGGTTGATAAGAAATATTTCAGAGATAAATTATGTATTGGTAGTAATTAATATTCTACCGTAAGAACCACAATGAAATTAACCCCCCTCCAGATGACCTTGAGCTTATAATATGTTGTAGAGCATCAAGGTCATGGGGTGGGGATCTACACCTTTACCAAAATTATATTAAAACATAACTATTCTTTATTAATTTCAATATTTATTCTTACGTTCACAATGGAATCCGTCTCCACTGTAACCGTTCTTGCAAATGCAATAGTAACTTCCTTGAGTGTTGATGCAGTTTGCGTTAATGTCACACTCGTGAGAAGATGTTTCACATTCGTTGATTTCTGCGCAATTGTAAGCATCTACTCTGCGATAGCCTTTTAAACATTCGCAAACGTAAGATCCCAGGGTGTTGACACATTTTGTATTCAATTGGCAATAGTGACCGTCGGAACCACCCTCTTGTTGACATTCGTCGACATCTACCAAACAAGAGAACATTCAGATTTGCCAAAAGAGAATTCCAGATGATTTATCGGTTTGACCAAATTCATTTTTGCTTGCGTTTATCCAATTTGCCAAAACAAAAGAGTGATGGTAACAAAATGAACTGGATAAGGTTAATGGATTTGGTCAAATTTGAGATAAATGATCATGAAGAAAACTCTCGTACCCTCGCAAATATCTTTTGTAACAGCTCGAAACCCATCAAAGCATTTGCAAGTGTAAGTCGTCCCAAGGTTGACACATGAAGCGTTAGCATGGCATGTATGGCCTTTAGCGCAATAGTCCACACCTGTTAGACATTTAGGTCACAAAGGAATTGTTAGTAGATTGTTAAGCAGCCATTTAGTTATTAGTACATAAGCATTTTTCATTTTGACAATCAAAAATAAAAACATGTAATTATGTGTAATTATTGCATCAGATATAAATAAAGGCAATTTAAATAAGGTCCATTAAAAAGTTTCTATTGGTAACGTAACTTTGGAATGGTAACAACAACAACAGTCAATCGGTTCGATAGTCCATTTGCATTACTTTATTGTTTACCCAACATGTAATTGACGCAAATGGGTCATCAAACAAATGGTGTAATTTGTTCTGTTAGTGTAAATGTATGGATTGATTATTATTTATTGTATATTAGAAATAGTAATGATGGTTCTTTGAAGCGCTGTCGCGCCAGTTGAAGCAAGGGTTATAAAGGAAGCGACTGAAATTATTAGACCCAGACAAGACAGGTACGAATAGGTAATTTTAGGGACATAATCTAACCTGGACAGAATTTACAGCAGTGACCTTGTACAGAAAATTGTTCATCAGCAGAACAAGTCAACTCTGGGCACGACTTTATAGGGTCGATACTTGTACAAGTCATGGATCCATCGTCGCACACACACTTATAGCACTGCGCCGTTACTTCCTCACCGTCTTCATATGTTGTTTCCTGCATGTAACAGTTTCCTGTTTTAAATAAAAAGTAAATATAAAATCTTACTCAAACAAGAATGACCATCTGCTAGACAACGTTTCTAATTTTATTTAATTAATAATACTTAAGCTTTCGTGGGTGAATGCACCCATGAAACGTTTTAGTTACAATTTTGTACTCTTGATAATGACCGACGAGGTCAAAACCTTTGCTAAGATTGAGTAATAAATAATTTGTTGAAACAAGCTAAAGGTTTAGGTAAAATTGACGAAAAGTGAAGAAAAATCAGACATAAGGTCACAAGCGCACTGCTATTCTTTAATAAAAGACAAAATCGGTTGCTTTTAATGCCTCTTTAATGAAGTTGTCTGGTATATGGTCATTTTTTGAAGAATAATTGTTCCGTGTGTAAATTTGAACAACCGTCAGGTAAAAGTTAACTATTACGAGGGTGGATTGATAAGTTTCCGGCCTAACCAAGAGATGACGCCACTAGGCCTACCTTGAGGTGACATTCTATAGTACCATCCTTGAATAGCTTGTAGCTATAGTTTCAGCCCGATCTCCTTGCTAGTGTAGGTTTGACAGCACGCTGAACAAGACGCCTCTGTGGTTTTCGTAAAAATGGAAAAGCAGGAAAATCGT